TTAGATTTTGCTGTCCCGTGCTGATTTTGCTTGATTTTGACGCTATTTTGATTTTATTTTCTTCGCTTTTTGCAAACACTCATGAAAAACGATAAAATAGCATACTGAATTGATGAAAAATGTCTTTCGTGATAGAGATTTGATTTTTTTTTAAATGCCAAACGGTCATTTTTTTGTTACCCGATCCTTTTCCATTTCATTTCACTTTTCGATTGGACCAATTTATTCCGTGCTTCAATTTTTGATTTTCTTTCGCTTTTTTATGCATTTACGGTATATCCAAACACTTGAACGACAATCCAGCTCATACACTTTATCATAGCAATTTTGTTTGCCATCCACCTTCTCAATCGCCGAACAATCGAAATCGACAAACGACTCTTTATTCACGAAAATACTACCGCAATAAAGAAAATTTTAATTTAAACATAAATTTCGCGTGTCGCGTGAAATGCTATTGTTATAGAAGTTTTGTTTTGTCACTTCTCTTTTTGTCTATGCTCCATGAAATATCTACTGAAAGTTTTTCATTGTCTATTGAAAAAAAAATCACACACGGGACTCGTAGTTTTCTACATCTCTGTCGTCCAAAAATTGGACATTACAAAAGAGCAAATGTGCACAGTAGCAATACCACCAACAATAATACCAAAAAGATGTGTAACTCACTAAATTGAACACTGAAAATAGTTAAGCGTTGCACAATACACACGGCAAACAACTAGAACAAACAAGACAATGGCGCAACAAGAACAAGAAACACCACCAAAGGCCAACAAATGTACAAATATTCTGGAATATATTTTATGAAATGGTGATGATGACGACGGCAATTGCGATGGCGTTAAGATTATAATAATTGAGAGAATAGTATGTGCCGAAATGGCAATGATCACTATGGGCTATCTGAAGAGACAAAATACAGAAAAAAAACGCTGAAGTACAAGCAACTGAAATTCGAATTCGTAAAATTTAGATTGAATTTTAGTCTATCGGCGAATGGTGTATTTTGTAACCGCGCAATATTTACTTAATAAATGAGCGAAACAAAACAACCACAACACACTGTAAAAGGCAAAAAAAAAAAAAATAGATGAGAGAGAGAGAAAGAAAACGTTGACAAACAAAAAAATAAATATGATGAACGAGGCAAGGAGGAAAGAAATAAAAGAGAGAAAACAACAACTCCGCACGAAAAATGGTAACAAATAACCAGGCACATAAATGATAAATCTGATAAAGGCATACAAAATACGTAAAAATTCAAATGTAAACGGGCGAGTGCGAGTAAGTGTGTGTGTGTGTGAGAGAGAGAGAACCGACGTGAACAACAGAAACAATTTATATGAACGATTGTTCAACTTTTCGATTGCGATTGTGGGATACATGTTGATTTCATTATATCCACTTTTATTTTTGGTTTTTGCCACACCATGTGGCAGCAAAAATGCAAAGAATCGGGCCGAACCACACATCGATGATATATCGAATCAAATGGCAAATAACAAACCGAGAGAAAAAAAACCCTACAAAACACACACTATACTAAAAGTGAAGCTCTGTGTGTCTGTGTGTGCTCGTTTACACACTTGCACATAACATTAATCTTTCGTTGATTAGATATGAGAAATAATAAATGTGGTTTCATGGAGGTGTTGTGTCATTTGTTCGTTTTACTTTTTGTTTGCTGCAGCAGCAACTGCTCTTGGTTTTACTATTGCTGCCCGTTTCTTTTTCTCACTTTCTTTGTTCCGTTTGCTATATATATTTTTCTCTGTCTCTGTTTATTCCCATACTGATTGTCACTTGTTTTTCTTTGTTGACGGCATTGGTATAAATTTCAAAATTTCTACTTTGTGTGTGTATGAGCTCTTTAGTTTGAAATTCGGTTGGAGAGAAAACAAGCAGATTTTTTTTTGCTCCGATTCGGAATGTCTTTTCGATTCTGAGCTTCATTTGAATCGTTTATCATTCAACCACATGGAGTATGTTCTGCATATGCTTTAACATCTAGAGAGAGGGTATGTGTGTGTGTGTGTCTGATTTTTTTCCAGTGTGATTCATCTCAGAATATTGACCGTTGTATTCACCAATGGGAAACTTTGTTAGAACTCTGGTTTTTGCGGTTGTATGATGTCTGTTTCCACCATTTTCTATCTCTTTATCATTTTCTCGATATATGCTGAGGCCCCATCAGAGTCTGACAAAAGTTGCAGAGCAAAAACACAACGACACAAACACACATGCACACAATTGGCTCAACAATGTCAATGGCTGAGCTATTGAAACAATTTGTTTATTATTTCGTTTATCCGGCCTGATAGGCGATTATGATTTGTTCGTGCAATTTATTTATGAGCGCTAGCCTAAAATGTGACATCATGAGCCATTGTTAGTTTTCAACAATTAATAAATTACATGCCTTTTCATCATCGTGTCTTTGTCTCTCTGCCATTTGTTAGTGTGTTGATGTTGTTACTGTTTTGAAGCAAAGCTCATATATGCAAGACAGTCGCTTTGATGCGTGTGAATGCGATACGATAAATGTCAATGCAAATATCTAACAACATCATTTTATCAGAGAAACCACATTTCATTTATTGCGACCTACGACACATTGTATACTCAATGCAGTACATAAGCTCACAAAATCTCGACTCTATAAAACGATGTCAAACACTCTATTCCCCCTTCTCTCTCTCTCTCTCTCTCTCTCTCATTTTTAAACATTTTTTGTTCATATTCAGTAGTTCTCGGTTGGTGTTTCTTTTTTTATGCATCGAGTGCACAAAAAAGTGGAGATGAAGCACAAGTGGAACAAAGCAAAGTGGATAATAACAAAAAAAAAAATAAATCCCTTTGGAGCAGTTGTAAACGTTGAAAATATGCAAACATAGATTACATTTCGTGGATTATTTCTGATATGTTGAGCAATCAATGTGTATAAAACGAAGAATCGATGAACATTCATTCCGTATGGAACACGAGGATAGTAGGAGAAAAAGCACCCCAATGGAAATGTACACTATTCACATACCTTCGTTTTATTCAGTCGGAAATTTATAGCATCGCTTGTATTCAGGACTTTCAATTTCGGTAATGGCAAATCAATTGATTTGGATAATAAAGTGGAAAAATTATATGATGATTCATGCGTTCATTTGGTCGATTTCAAGTTGAAAATTAGTCAGCCAAATGAATAAATTTTTCGCAACATTCGATTCATCGTCATCGATAGAAGGATACCAAACACCCGATATATGTACACAAAGCAAAAACCATTTTTTTTCAAACGTCTCTGATATTATATATCATGGTACTCACATAAGCTCAGGTATATCTATCGACCAAATACAAATCCAATATGCAAACTGGCGATGAAGTGAAAGAGAGAAAGAGAGAGATAGAAAGAAGCACAAGCGAACTCAATTGCTGAACCGAATCTACATTTTAAAACCAATACATTTCAACTCACTGAATACTTTCGAGTGCATTTATTGATGATTAATTAATTTATACAAAACGTCACTACTTAAAATAAATCAAGCAGCACTTGAGCTATCTTTAATTAAACATTATACCCTTAAATGGGATCTCTTTTTCTCTTGTCTGGCCATGCGTGTTTGGTTTCTGTATCTCGATCGCATTTCATATGTCCATCTCTTGGACATAGGTAATTCGATAAGTGTGCAATTAATTATTGCAGATGGACAAATAAAACCTTTTTACCCTCAGCTATCGCACACCCTTTTCATCAATGACAGAATGTGAAGACTTCAAGTCTCATTGGGCTGACGGTGGCGCCACCAATTTCAAAGGTGACGTCAATGTAATTTAACAACTCAAATCGAAACTAAACAGCGCGCCAATTTTAAAATTTGCTGTCATTTCCTCCCATTGCTTATCATTCAACATTATTCATTATTAACGTTTTGCGTGATTTGTTTTTATTGATTCCTAACGTGCAACGAGAAGTTTGTGTCGATATTATTTGATATTCCGATTAAATTTAAATTACACGCGAAAAAAAGAACAAAAATTATTCAAACAGATTATGTAGATTGTTGGCAGCACTTTTTTCTACCCTACCTATCTCTCTTCATACTGTCTCTCAATTATTATCAAATGAAATCCACTTAAACCACATTTATTTTCACAGTGGCGGCAAAACCAAAGAAAAGAATCCGAACATACTATGCGATAATAAATGAATGAAATGAAATCACAAACGAAAAAACGTTTGATTTATGGCCAAAATATTATAATGTGCATGTGTGGAGAAGATTTATTCGTCATGAAATTTCATTTATCGATGCATTTGGCTATTTTGCATTCCGAAATGTTTCAAAATTCAGCATTGTGACCTATGCTTTCAAAACTATTTTCACATTCAGCATTGTTACAATGGCAACAATTTGGAGGCTTCTTCAAACGCATTTATGTACTAACACAGAGAGCGAGAGCGAGAGAGAGAGAGATGGAGAGAGAGGGAAGGGAGAAAGAGACTTATATAAACACAAAGTATATAATTTTCAACATTGATTGACTAAAAATAGCGAAGCCGAACAAAGCACACACAGTATAATCACATAGAATTGCATTCTTTACCATCACAATGTGATTATTTGGTGCAAAATGTCTATAAATCAAGATTTTTTTTGTCGATCGTTGTTGTTCGATTTTACCAAAACTTTTCACCATCGTCAAAACAAATAGTCATGACACGAAAATGCATTCAAAATGCTCCAAATTGTTTTGTAAACAGAACCATAAATGAACGAAAACAAAAAAAAAACGAAACCAAAAAAATAAATAAAAAGACAACAAAATTCAATGAAATTAAAGTGATAAATGCATTTAATTTTCTTCAAACGTAAAACTATAATCAATCATACATACATATTTTTTTATTCATTTAAAAATGAAACCATAAAAACATAAAAGTCCTTCTACATCAAATGTTCCCCGTATATTTGTAGTTGAGAGTTTTAAATTCGTACCTGTGGCGTAAGCTGGTTCGATTTCATCCTCGGAATGCATTTGTGGCGGTGGCGGAACAATTGGTATCGGTCGTTCGTAGTGCATGCACGCTTCCAAATAATTAATTGGCATTGATTCGCTATAAACTCCGGCCGTTCCTCGTCCTGTACAAATCATACTGTCCATACCAACGATGCTTCCGCTGCCGGCGCTAATGCCTGGACTTGAACCGGAACCCGATGCCGATCCTGATGTTGTGTAAGGCAAATTGTTGTGATTTGTTTTGTTTGTGTGTGGATGTGGATAGTTGTTTGCCATTGTTTGCTGCGAAAAACTCATAATTTCTTCAGAGAAACAAACTCGCGGCCCAGAATTTTGTAGCCAATAGTCATCTCCAGAACAGTTTGTTCCTGTCAAAAAATAATGAGCTTTTCCCCATTCAGTTTTCAAATTGCAATTTCGGCATTACGCACATACACTAGTCCATTTATTTATTTAAGATTTTTTTTCTTCGCAAACAAAAAAAGAGTCACATAACACATATTGGCACATGGTAAAATAAATTTGATTGCAAAGCGACAACAAAAAAAAAACACTCTATATGTGCGCAATACCATATGGTATTATAAATTCGAACATAGAAGATGAAGTTGAAACCAAAATTCAAAAAACAAAACGGCAACAACATCAACATCAACGAAAAATAAATCGAGAATAATGGACTAGATAAAATTTGGATTTTGTGTGGTATAAAACACAAACCTTGTGGGCTAGATCCATGAATGCTCATTGCTTGCGGTGTTGCCGATGTCGTCATATAATGATGTGTATACGGATGCGGATGTGGTACATCATAATCGCCGGTATCGCGTAACGTTGAATTACGTGTCAATGTATTATTTGTAGATTGCACACTTGAAACGGTCGCACCACGACACAATATATCCGATAATTGATTCGCCTGTATGTCAAAATCATACGACTTTTTTCCGTTTAGATTGATTGTAGCCTCTGGTAACACCTTCGGTTCGATATCGGTAAATGGTTGGATGAAAAAGAATTTTTTTTGTTCGATTTGATTTTAGCTCTTTTCATTTCATTTTTTTTTTTTTTTTACTTTATTTTGTGTTGCCATTCTCTCATCATGAGACAGAGAGGGTCCGATGATATTTATGTAAGTATGTATTGATGGAGATACTCAGTGCACAAAAATAAATAAGATTCAGTCCTGTTTTGAATGTTTACATTTTGTGCACTGCTACGGCAGCTATTCAAATGACATATAATGGACTGAGGAAAATCTAATGCATTTTTACTCCGGATTTACTCTCATTTTAATTCATGAGATTTGATTCGATTTCAGTGTTTCACTGAGTTTCGTTCACTATGAAAATATCGTCTCAATTCATTGAGCTTTTTTTGATTTTCACTGTGTTTTCAAAATTTTCCACGTACGAAATGTTTGTATGTATGAGCTGGGATGGAAATATGAGAATGCACTAAATATACACTCACAGGTACATATTATTATGGAAACTGTGTGAGTGTTATTGAGTATTGTATGATTTACAGAACAAAAAATTCAAATTCATCCATTCATCTTTGGTATTGCAAATTACCTGTGGACTATCCAATCGATCAATTGAGGTTCGCCTAGAGTACTCATCGTTCATAATGACCGATCCACCGTTTCCAGTGCCACCATCAATCGGACACGATTGCTGTGATAGCGCTGAATGTGGCGGCGGTGAATCTTCAATACAGTGGCATTGACTATCCTGACATTGAGCTTAACGATGGAAACATTTTGAAATACAGAAAAAGTAATATCCGGTAATATGAGTTAAATTAGATTGTGGTAGATGTGGTTACTCCTCATAAATTAAAAATCAACATTTGTTTTCGCCTCATTTCTCGTGCCCTCTTTTTTTGTATGCAAATTTAAAGCTTACCGAATGATTTGACCCCGAATTTGTTGAAAAATTGATGAAATTTTTATAATCAAATCATTCGAAATTGGTTTTGCAGTGAGAGTAAGACCGTGTGAGACAATGAGATTGAATTATGACAGTTCAATAAAAGCGGTGCTTTATGCACACAAAGATCTGTTTTAAATCCAATACCTTGACACGATGGACTGCTGCAACGACTACTTCGGCACGGGCTATAGCATGTCGGTGCTGGCGGTTCACTTTGTGGAACTGTGTTGATTGGCATAACCGTACATTGTGTGTTGCGTCGCGGTGATCGACCTCGATCAACTGCTGTTGCACTCCAATAGCCCCACGCCATCACAATGCTGTTTTTTCACTGCCTTTTTTGTGGTTTATTTTATTTTCAGATTTAAATTCACTTTTTTTTATTTTCAACTGCTTAAATCCCCAGATCGATTTCACAAAAACACTTGCACCACTGTTTTGTTCTCAGTTGTTGTTTTTTTTTTTGATGTTGTGCTTCCAAATTAATTGTATCTTTTTGTTTATTATTTTCTTTTTAGTAGCTATTAAAAAGAGTTGCACATCTGAATTGTATTCACACTCTCACCCTGAAATCGTGGACAAAAAATGTTCTTAACTATTTTCGACTCGGTTCGTTTAATCCACTCAATAGTATTAACTGAAGACCGACACGACCAAAACAAAGTGAACAAAGAATGGTAGCTCGTCGCTGATGATGTTTTGTTTTCAGTTGTTGTTTCTCTTGTTGGTTGTGTGTTGCACAACAATGAAAATAAAAGCCAAATACCACTTGAAGGCAAATACATTTGGTCATTTCATTTGAGAAAAAGAATTCGTTACGCGTACATACGTTGCACCGGATCGGATTTTAATCATCCAAACGGATGCAGAAATTTCAATTTAATTTGTTTATTTTCGAAATGGTTGTTGGAAACATTTCAAAACTGTAAACGAACATTGACTAACTCTTCGGATCGATTAGAAGCAGTTCAAGTGAAAAATGAGCTCTCCATTTCACTATTTCTCGCGTATTCTCTCTTTATTTCAATAATATGCGTTTTAAATTGTTTCGTTTGCGCGAACTCGTTTAATTAACAGCATGCCATTTGGATGTAGATGAGATATACGTTCAATTTGCAGATTACATTTTATGTTTCGTTTGCTGCCACTGCTTTTTTTTTGTTATTATAGAGTTTTCAAATTATGTACAAAACATACTTGAAAATACGATTGAGAGATAAATAATTGTTTGCTCGGTCCGGACATAATGGCGAAAACAAGAAAACACTCAAAAGCGTATTATATGGCTATGTGAAATATTTCTGAAATATTTTTTTATCTGCAATTTTAGCAGTCGTAATCATATAATTCAATATTTGTGCTATGGAAATGTTAGCGAGAATGTGAAAAAGAAGAATTCACAAATGAAAATGTTGTTGTTGTTTTTTTTATTCAACTGCTTTTTTCAGTGTCATTGTTGTCGTCATTGTTTTCATCGCGGGTAAAATAACCGCAAAGAAAAAGGCTTTACGAAATGAAACTATGGGCGCAATAATTGATGACCATTCCACTGAGTCAGCAGCAGTAGAAATGTACTCGGTCTAGAACGATTGTGAAAGCAAACAATATCGATATCATTTGTTGGCGAAGAATTTCATCGCTTTTTGGTTTCCGCGTAACAATGTTACACTATCGCTACAATTCAGTTACGTCAATTTTCTAACGTAGCTTTTTCTGTTTTATACAATATTTCATTAGATTTGTAGTTTTCTTCGACTTGGAGACTCTGCCTCTGAGTGTGTTTCGGTGTTATGTTGGCTAGAACAAGAGAAATTTTCTATATTCTTAAATAATACACACCGAAACTGGCGACTTTGAATTCAATTTCATTTTCATCTCCTTTTTTTTACTTTTCTTGCACTCTTATGTGTTGCATCTTACAGAGATTTGGTTCATAGCGCTCGGCATATGAGCAGAAGTGAGATCAAAAGAGAAAACAGCACGAAGCAAATGAAAAAAGCACAGAAAGAGATACATGCATTCGATGAACAACGGGTCCAAATAATAAAATTGGATGTTGAAAGTCGACATAAGGCGAACTGATACTCGGTATTTATCCTAGTTGTTTCTATACTTTGTTTCATCCTTTAACCCATTTCGTTTCATCAATATTTTGTTGTATTATTTTCATTCGTTGCTGTTGTTGCTCTTTTTCCCATTTGCTCTCGTTCGTTCTCAATTCGATAGCGTAAAAAAAATTATTCAAACGAAAACATGGCTATTGAGCACACATTGCATGACGGTGTATGAGTGTATATGTATACACACACATACATTTCATTCACAAAATAACAATAAAAAACACAGTGCAAAATAGAACAGAAAGAAGAGAAAAAAGTAAACAGACAAATGAAACAACACAAAATGCACACATCGTTTGCCAGGATTTAAAATCACTATTTTTCCAAACTTTACATCGTCAACAAATCGAATGGAAGAAATGACACAATGAGAGCAACGGAGAAAGCATTCGCTCAGATCAAATAATAATCTTGATAATGATAGCGTTTCATTTGGCGCCGTGCGAATTTCGTAGAAAAAATCTACGTGTTTTTGCCAAAAAAAGGGACAGAAAAAGAAGAAGAGTGGTTAAATTGAGTTTCGGGACGTGCATTGTTCAAAATTGGCATTGTTGTGAACTTGTAGCGGAAGCGACCGTACAAAGAAAATAATCCAGCCAGGAAGTGCAAATGATGGCAGAAAAAAGAAGAAGATGAAGAATAACAACAACATCGCAACGATGGCAATGATGATGAACATCAACGAGAATTGGATTTGATGATGGCATTAAATCAAGGGCATAAAAGAATATTATGAACGTTCAGCTAATGCGTTTAGTACCCAGAGCCGAGTCCAGCATTAATCAGACATAATCTAGCTAATTATAATCAAAGGTAAAATTGCAGATACTTAAAAGACAATCGAGAATCGTTTGCGTTCACTTGGCGGCAGCGGATACACAAAATAACTACACACACACGGTGTTTTTCTATGTTTTTAGTTTCAGAAATTAAGAATTCTTTGCAAAATGGATCTATTCTATACTCTTTTTTCTCTCACTAATTGTATGCCACTTTCTCGCGCAATTTCTTTTTCTCTAATTAATATAGAATGGATACGTTATATGGGTTGACTTGAACTCGTAATCCATTGTTCCATGTACGGAAATTGGTGCAAGTCACAGACTTGTGTACGATTAAGAATCAAATACGGAGAGTTATTTGTTTGACACCCATTCCATTTGCATTAGCACACTCTAGCCTCTTTATATCCCCGCCGTCTATGAAACCGACAACACATTTATTTCAAACAAGAATATTTCTACGAATCGCTTGTACACTGGGACATGTTTTTCTTTTCGTTTTTTCTTTTTTTTTCTGACTTCTGATTCTTCTTCTTCATTTTTATTTGCTACAAGTGTAAGAGACTCGAGTTCAAGCCGAAAAGAAAATTATGGTGTCGCAGTGAGAAAAACGTGTGCATACAAAATAGCTAGTATGTCAATCGATGTTTATAGTTATGCAACATGAACTGAATTCTCTATTAGCTGAACATTGCCAATTCGTATTGAATGCACTTTGTAATCACTGTTGTACACACCAAAACGAGAAACAACTACTCAATATAGAGAACAGGCGCTCACATTGGATATACCAAGTTTCAAGCAATCTTCGTTTTGCTGCACTTGGAACGTGCTGCATTTAAATGAAATAAACGACACGCAACTGTTTTTTGCTTTACGATTTTTTGTTGTTGCATCTCCTTTTACCCCTTACGGCTGTGTGTGTTTGTGTGTGGTTTTTTTTTTCATTGATTCCTAAAACATGTTAAACCATTTATGTTATATGCACGGCATATATGAAAAATGCGATAAATTTACTTAAACCATTTGAATCGAACGATACAGCCAAGCATATTGTGAATATCGTTGTGTCATTTGTGTATTGATGCAGTGCAGTGCGTACATTTTTTCAGCAAAATTTAGACGCTTAAATCAATTTTAATTGATAAATATTCGGCATTCATGTGAGACTTTTTTTTGTCGATGGCTTCAATAAATATTTCAACGGTTTTTCTGACTTTGCCAATTTGCAAACATCTCTAGCACTCAGTGCACAATAAATATTTCATAAATATATGTCGAATAGATTTCATCGGTATACATTGAATGAAGAATATGTAAAATTTGCGTTGTAAGGCAATTGATTCGGGATTATGATATTAACTTTTTTGGTTTTCAATTGGTAAATATGTGAGGCTACAGAAATGCAACGAAGCTTTCGTTTGGATAATATATTAAAATTCATTGAACGAAAAGGCGATGTATGTAAAAGCGACAGAAAAACCGCAAAAACACAGAGAAACACACACACCACACAAAAATTGAACAACACATCCCAAAAACGTTCGGCTTAATCAACTTTCCTCTTTTCCAATTAAGCTAATTTAACTTTTAGGATGAGACAGTGCACTCGTGTTCAAAAAAATATTAGCATATTTTGCCATTGGTTTTTTCCATAAATGAATTGATGAGAATTGATTGGAAACCGTCACGTACACATACGGGCGGAATAATATTATTTAAATGGAAATTTACGACACGAAACTGAGAGAAAAAGTGAGTCAACGTCAAATGCCAACTATCGACGTGCGATGAATTTTCTTACCCAAAAGTAGGCAGCAAAGGAGAGAGAAAAAACCACACATAACAACGAATTTAATGAAAAAGTTGATAATGATGCTAAAAGTCAAGGCAACGCATCAATTTATCACGAACATTGTCGTCGTATCAATATAAAACACCATATTTACTATAGCACAAAGGGTGTGCTACAGTTCTGCAGCGCAGTTAGTTAATATGGAGTCGTTCACATAGTTTACACATTGTTACGTTCTATTAAAAGCTCTCACCTGCCTCACGAAAAAAGAGAACCGAAGAATCACATGGAATGACAAAAAGCAGTACCGTTTTTCTTTTCTTTTGGGTTTAAAGCTACAAAAAAATTGTTTTCTTATTCGCAATAAAACCAACATGAATTGGCAGAAAGAACTAAATTCAATTCAATCCAATTAATTCTAAACGAGTACCTATTACGTCAAACACAAGGGAGGTGTAAATGCGTTGCCTTTCACATAACTTATTCAACACGAAACCGACTCTATGTCTTCTGCCAACATCGAATGTACCATCAAATTTTTCGATGGTCACACACATTTTCTTTTCTTTGGCAAACCTACTTTTGCGCGGCAGATATATTTTCGGTGTACTGTATGTATTTCTTGATGTCATCATATATCTTTCTGTATCAGACATCCGTTGTGGCTGCCATTGATTCGAGGATTATTTTCGGGTTTTTCTTGCACTTTAACTGTGATGGATAGCTGTCGATTTTGTTTGTTTTTTTTTTTTGGATAAGATTTTCGCCATTTTTCTCACAATCTTTTTCTTTTAACAATCACATATTTCGAAGAAAGGTTTGCGTGAAACATTTTCACTCTCGCAGAATACACTTGGACCATTGGAATGATAAAATATACCATTATATATTGAATTTTCTTTAGAGGAACACATAGAGAGAGAGAGAGAGCAAACGAAATAGTTCACATATTAATTTAGCAATCATAACAGAATGTACACACCAAGTAAATGGCAATCCACAAGCACACATGCTTAAATTTGCGCTTCTGTGTGAAAGAGCGAGAACGAAAGCCGAAGTAAGCTAAAAATGTTTCCATACATATGGTGTAACGAAGTACAGTAAAAAGCTCTCGTGTGCTTACTTTTATTTTCATATGGCTCTTCGCTCTCACTTGTTCTCCCCATCTTTGTCGTTCACTCTCTCTCCGTCTATTTTTTTTTTGTTGTTGCTCTTTACATGGTGGTGTTCTACGTTACTTCTTTCGTTTTTCTTTTTTTTTTCTTTGCTTGGCTCCGTGTGTATCGTAAATGGGAATCTATATTTCAAAAAGTAACACGAACACATCGAAACATTAACGCGCGCTCATAACATTCTACACTAATGCGATTTGTCGACAACTTTTTGTGTGCTCTTTGTAAATTTGTTGTTGTTGGTGTTGGTGTTGCTGTCGCTGCTGGATCGGGAAGTTTTTGCCTTTTCTCTGCTCCGTTTTCTCTTTTGCCAATTCTTTTCTTCTTCTTGGATAAATTCATTTTGATTTTGGTGTAGCATCCAGAGAAAAGGAGAGAAAATATGATTTTCCTTACATTTTCATCGGACTTTTTCTTCTGTTTCACATTCATTTGCAATATGAACGAAATTTTATCGGATTTTATATTTTCTCATATAATTTTTTGAGAAGAAACAAAAAATTAAAGCCAACAATAACTTTTCCTATTTATTTTATATATTTCTCTTCTATTTTTGTTCAATTGTAAACTGAGTTGCCTTCAAGTGTACATAAACACACACACACACAATATACAACATCAAAACAATCAAGAGTTCCCGCAAACAGAAAGAGAAATCATCAATTCTAAATACACTCGTCCAATTACTATTATTTAGATTGTAGGAAAAACATTCTCTCAGTTTCGCATGAGTTTATTCTTCTCATTTGTTATTTGCTTGGCCTGTGTGTGCGCGAGATTTTGACGTTTTCTCAATATTATTTGAAAAGTGAGAAAAAGAGCGAAAAGTACAAATAACTTTTTTCATTTCAGTTTGTTGAATTGATAAAAGTATAAATGAATGCTTTGATTTCATTTGCTAAATTGGAAAGTTTGAAAAGTTTTGTGTCAATTCTTTAGTTCACTCGTTTTTTTGTTTAGTATCGTTGGTTGTCTTTGAGTCGCAAATGCGTCGTTTGTTTAGCACAAAAATAAAACGCGAAAAATTCTCTCTTTCATTCAATCGTCTCTCTTTTAACAAAACGAAACTTATTTTCTTTCCTTTTTTTCTTTTCTTTTTCTTCTGTTTGCTTTCTATTTCTAAAACACACAAACACCGATTTATGATAATTATTCCAATTTACCGAGAGAGAGAGAGAGAGAGAGAGAGAGAGAGAGAGAGAGAGAGAGAGAGAGAGAGAGAGAGAGAAGAGAGACACAGAGAAAAAGAGCTGGAAATTAGCGAACGATGAAAATCAAAAAAAGAAGAAAAAAAAAACACACACAAACGGGAATTTAACAAAAAAAAAATCAAAACACACGAGAAAAACACTTTATGCACAATGTAGTGTGTTTAAACACCGGAAAATTATCAAAAAGGGTGCAGCAGCAGTTACGACAATGCCAGGGATTTACTTAACTAACTACAGTCGGGTTGAAATTTTTATAGCAAATATTCAAAAGCATAAAGAAATACCAGCAGCACCAGCACTGACACAAACACGGGGGGACGCACACTAATACACAATACACGCACAAAAAATAGATGTCTGTACAAACACAATCGCTTGATGGTATTCGTACAAAACTTTCCACTGTATGAACATGACATAACCATAGACGATGCTCTGTGCATGTGTGTGCGTCAATGCCATATGCAGAGAATGTGCAGAATAAGAACGGATAATGCGCATTAAATGCTAAGGGATGAAATGAGACGGAGTTCATAGTTTCTGCTGTTTTACCAATATCAAAGTACAACAATTTTATATATCATGCATGTGAATTGAATATAGATTCTGTATTACAGTTGCTCACACAGACCAATAAATAAACGTTGAAACATTACACACAGAGAAATAAGACAGAGCTTCACAATTTCGGCACGCTTTCGTAGAAAAAACATTTTCCATTTCATTCCCCATGTGTTTCAAGTCTTGTATTGGTACCACATTTCATTGAAACAATATGTTAAGGGGTTGTTATTTTGAGGATGTTAGTATACGAAAATGCTTGCATGGCAATTGAAGTTGTAATAAAAAAGTTGAAAAAAATAATCGATTCTTCTTTCAGAATTGAAATTTTCAATGAATTCTGTTCAAATGTTTCAATAGAATTTTTAATTAAAAATCAAAATCATGAAATCCATCGGAATTGACGGCCTTTGACACTCTTTTAGCGCAAGCATGCATGTTGATATAAAAACAAGTGTGTTGTATGTTTGTGTTGTATCAATGTATGATGACGATGATGACGTATTTTTGTTTAAGAGAGTGGTGAAGCTTTCGCTTGAGTTGTTGCATTTTGTGTGCCAGTGGATAGCGCACGCTGACAAGAAAATGTATAAAATAGTCTTCGTATCCAACTTTGTTTTCATGGTTGATGCTCAAAGTTTGTTTATTCGAATGGTCTTTAAAAAAAAAATTCAACCAAAACGATGTGTTTATATTCGTCAGTCCCTCTCTGCAAACTAATACATACGTAAAGTATAAAAAGCATACAGTCCAAAGCCTTTTCCCCATCAAATTTCGTGCGCGCTTCATTCTATTTGTTCGTTTGGCAAATGGCATGGAGATGATTGTGAACTAACATGAACGTACAAGACTCAGCCATTGCGCACATCAAAATGCGCATATTATTCCATTATAATAACTCAATAATAACAAAGTATTCTAACTCTCTCTCTTTCTCTCCATCTGTCTCAATGTCTCTCATTTCGAATGGGTCTCGGTGTATTTATTCGGAATTTTTTTGTGTTTATTTTTATTTTATAATTTTTCTCCGTTCCACGTTTGCCATTTTCCATATAATATAAATCTTAGTTATTTTAGGCATGATAATTATTTACAGCACAATGTAAAACAATAGGAGCGTTCCCTCTTCCCATACACACATATGTAGTAACGATAAATATACCGTTTTGAATAATCGTTCCAATTGATCGAACGATTTGGCTTAAACGTGAGCCGTGAATTTAATCTACTTAATTTGTTGAAGTTGACTTTATTTGAGTTTTACTTTTCGAACCGAACAGTTTCGTGATTCTGTGCGTACGTATGTGTATGTGTGTAAACAATACACGAGAAAAGTAAGATGATGATGAAGGAGATGGTTCGCAATTGGCGAAAAATTTGAATTAAAATTCAACAATCAAAAGACTTAACGACAACAACGTATATTCATATACCCTAGGCTGTCAATTTTTCATCATAGTCGTCGTCATTGCCGTCTTTGTTATCAGTGGTGTTGCTTATTTTCATCTCTCTTTTGATCATTTCGAAGTAAATGGTTATTCTTGTCGCAAAAGGTGTACACAATACAATATTATATGATGATACTTTTTGTTTGACGGCAAAGATGGAAAACAATATACAATTTCCATCGGGTCCATTTCTTCGTACATTCAACGTATTTTCTATTCAGAGTACGTGGTTTATGTTGGTATTGCTGGCGGTTAAAGCTCTTGTTCGTCCGTTCTTTGTCTTATTCAATTCGCATTTGAAAATTACATACAAAACACAACAACCATATTAAGTAGCAAATGGTGTATTTACACGCGCTTTTTGCCCCATCACACACATTCAATTATAGATGTTGGATTTCAATGGTCTGAGTTGACTAGTCTTGTGTTTGGCATAAAATGAAGCTTTTGCATTATTTAACACTGAATACGAAATGGTAAATTTGTACTCGGATATAATTTACATTAAAACGTCGAGGAAAATGACAAATACATAACATCGCCACCGTTTCACTCTTTTCATCACTTTCACATAGATTCGGATCCATTTGTGTATCGAATAGAAAAGCATCGCGGTAAATGTTCTTCATTACATCCTGAGTTTTTTTTGTCTTTTTCACAGCGAAAATTAAACAAATGTTTTCATAGCTTTTTAAAGCCTTCTAAACATTTGAAGTTCATGAAAAAAGATGATTACATGCACTTAAGGTTTTACTGAAATGCAAAATCAACTCAGCTGGACTTAACTATGCAAAACACCATCTCAAACATAATATACGATGTTCATTTGTATTTTTGCCTGCGCTGTCGTCACATACTGTTCAATTGAATCATTGCGACGAAAGAATCGCTCTTCGTTTTGTTCCAGTAATACGGGAACTTTTGCATATTGAACGTTTCCATTACTTCCCTGTTCCCCGATATTCTTTGAAATGAGTTTTGAAGTACATTATATTTACTTTTTGGAGAAAAAAAATGAAGAACTAATTTTTTGCTGCATCGATTCAATTACAAGTCAAATGCAAAAGCACAAAATTCAAGGAGTTATATCGAAATGGCCATTATTAGAGCAGTGCCAACGCAAACGAATCACAAATAGGCAAAAACTTTTGTTATTCGCTTTAGATTCAACAGTACAATATACACACACAGACACACACGTTTGACACACATTGGATTATCTCAAGTGCTTCGGCAATTTGTTGGGATTCTGCAAATTCGATAAATGTGGTTTCTCACGTGAGCAGGTGAGCTTCGTGTTTTTTTTTTGTTCCCCTTTTTTTTATTTACAATCGTTTTGATACCATCAACGACAGCAGCAAATTCTCTTTTGCCCAATGCATTCAGAAGTATCAATAGAAATACATCGAAATATCAATTTCGATTGTGTGTTTGACACATGGAATCTTGAAGGAGCTTTTTATTTCTCGCTTAGGTTGAACCATTGCCAAACAATATTTGGAGGAAAAAGAAAGTGCTCACATAGTCATTGCTGAAAATGGTAATAAAATCGAACGATTTCAAAAAAAAAAAACAGGAAAAGACAAATCATTCTCTCTCTTTCATGAAATGACCAAAGTAAGGCGTTCAAAAAAAAAAAATACCAATGCAAATACAATTTCAAAAAGCAACGAGCCAAACGAAAAATGATGGAAAGAGAGATAGAAGTGAACCGGCACACTAAATGCCATTCCAAACAATTGACCAAATTTATGGGCGACGAGTGTGTTGGACATGAGTATTTTGCAATACGCAATCGAAAAGATTGGAAGAAATTTCTCAATGAAAAAAAAAGTAACCATCATGTCTTCAAAGTTATTGGGGGTACGACATTCTCTCGTTTGCTCGCTCTTTCTCTCTTCCATGCTATTCTCGATGGGTATGTTTTTTTTTCTTCTCTTCATCTAAACCAAGTCGACAGAACAAACTACGTGCAAATGCGATTTTCGTGCTGCACAGTAAAACACAAAGCGACAGCGCAATTTATTTGGAATTAGTTTTTAGATTGTGAGTGTGTGTGTGTTTGTTCAGAATATTGTATGGCAAAATGAAACGGTTCTGGTAACCATCGGTTTTTTTTTCATCACAAAATTTACTCCGAAAGATGAGTAACACTCTGTTTATGCAATGCCATGATTCATGAATATATTTTACTCGATTCTCTAGCCATTTTTGAGCTTTACATCTCTGTCTCTCTTTTGTTTCGCACAATCTTTCTCTTGACTTCTCGTCAGTTTGTTTTCTATCGTTTTAACTGCGTATATTTACTGTCCGAACGAGTTATTTAATCCTGTAGAAAACGAGAGATTTACGTAACATTTCAAAGTAAAAAACCAACACTATGCATATCTGGTAACTCTGTGTAGGTCTTAATCGAAAATCACATGAAGTGCAGTTAATTCTCTGTACTGTGTACCTCTCATAATTTGCAAACGCAACTAGAATTCAGCCAAAGTGAATGTCATACAAATGTGTAGTGGCGTAGCCAGGACGTTTCACGGTACAGTAGCAAAAGTTGCTGCTCTTTTTTTTCTCCCGACAAAATGTTTGGTGCTTTAAATTTATTAGAAGTTTCAATACATATAGAAATGCACACCGAATGTAGAAGATATTCTACAAAAGAGACCTACGATGTCATTACAAACATATGATGTCATTCAACAGAATTGAATTTTTAGTTGAACAAATACCGGATGACAAAAATGTGGAAATGAATAACATTATGCATCAAAAGGATGATCAGAATCGTTACGCTCATGTAGAATTTTTCATAATTTAATTCGAATTTTATTAATCATGAATCATCATGTTCTCAGGTTTTAAAATACCGGTGTGTTCGCGTATTTCAATTAAAATGAATTCCACATTTGGGAAAATCATTGAAAAAAATGCACAAACGAAAAAAAGCATAAGCATTTGGCATAACATATTAAATGATTAAATATTTTTGGTGCTTTGAAATGCAATTAATTAATGTATTCGAATTTCGAAATAAAAAAATATTCGAGTATAATTTTTGGGCATGCATACATGCACTATCAATAGTGGCTGTGTCATTTGGAGAATGAACAAGAATCCAATATGTTCGTGATCATGCAGTTCATTGAAGTATGAAGTTCATTTAATTTCCTTTTTTGATAGGTCTAAAAGTGGCCAATGACAGCACCCCATCCACC